ATTTCTCATCTCCTGCTGCTCCGCTTTCTCAAAGGCATGCAGTGCACACTCAAGGATGTGTGTCTGGTCTTAGCCACAACGCTCTTTGCAGCATGTCTGAATGAAATCTGTCCTGCTACTTCCGAGCCAAACAATCACAAATCCAACCAAAGAATGTTGTTTCTCATGGCAAAAAGTCTTATTTAATTTCACCAACGCCTCCCCCAACCATCAAGTTTGCAATTTGAAATCACAAACCTCAAAAATGGCAAAGTTAATGAGTTAATTTGATACTAAGTGAGGTTTGATACTATGGCCTGGGCTGCATGGCAGGTCAAACTATGACTTAATCTTTGACTTAAAAACCAATTAGCTAAGTAAATTCAGAACTATAAATGTTTACATGCAGGGGCTAGTCCATGCAGTACTGATTAAAATTGTTAAAGCCTACACTTTCCCCTTCATGACTACAGATTCCTCCCAAACCAGGGCAGACAGTGAGGGGGTGGTGAGGAAGCACCCACACTTAGCCGTGCAAGTCCCATCCCGCTTCCTCCTGGAGCACCCAGGAGTGGGATCTGCCCACGGAGCCAGGCCAGCCTGCCTACGTCTGCCATCAAGGGAAGAGGAGGGCTGGCACCACCCAGCATGGCTGAGTTATGGACAAACAATTCCCTGTGGGCCAGCACAGGGGATGACAGGCTCAGGATGGCTGAAATTACACTGCATCGGGCCAAGGAGCAGCACTACAGAAATTTCCAGCTCACAGGAAGTATTTATACAGGTGAGACCAGTGCACTTTGCTAGCCCAAGTTCAATACAGCTGATCAGACCCTGGACAATATGGCTCAAATGTTACTTTGAGAAGATATTTGAGGTTTGCCCAATCCAGTAAAGCTCTGACAAGTAGAGCCAAAATTGTTGGGACTTAATAAATACTGGAAACTTTTGCACTGAAGCCCTCTAAACATGGCGTCAGTACTCCTGCTGCCCAAATCTGGGCAGTGCTTTGTGCAAGCAGGAACTTTGCAAAGGCAGCACATCCAAAGTCACCATAAAAGCAAGACAGCGGCAGAGATACAAAGACAGGCAGCAATGAACGTGCCCAAGGGATGTTATCACTGCAAAAGTGACCTCAGAGACTTTGGACAAGATCCTCAGACTGAAGGAGAATCATTCATTTTTAGGTAGCCCTGCACTGCGCCTGCCCGGTTCTAGCCCCATGCTCCCCTCCCCCGGCCAGACAACCAACTCCGCAGCCAGGCTGGGAATTCGGGAGGGTTAAAGGTGGTGGGGAGGAAACCGATGGTTAATTTCACATGGCTGCATGGAGTTTGCGTTTGCTGGGATAGGGCTGGAAAGGGCACCCAGAGGAAAGAGCAGCTGGGACGAGGGAAAAGGCAAATGCACCCTCTCCAGCCCTGGTGCCACCCTGCCCTGACGCAGCGCTGCCTGAAGCTGTGGCTGGAGAGGATGTGAAAATCCCCATCTGTCCTCCAAGTTGATAGAGCTGCAGCAGTGGGGAGCAGCAGCTCTCATCTGCCCACTGCCACACAGAAACAAACTTAGTGTAATGTTTCCTTACACTATAGCTCTCTTTTTTGGCAATTTTGTTCCTAAGCAAATATATTATCCATTTTCTTCCTGGGGCTATTGGTATGGACCCTAATGGGTACCACCATCAGCTGAGCTTACCCAGCTCTCGCAGAAAAAGGCCATATAGCAGGCTGATTGCTAAGTATAATATTAAAATTCATTTTCTAAACAGCCCTTTACTGTGCATTCACCTTTCCAGATTGTGTTTCTGTGGGAACCTCAAACCTTCAGGAATACAAACATTAAATTTACTGCACAACCACTGCAAGAAAGCACCGAAATAGTTTCAGCTCCGTTTGACAGAGAAGGAAACAGAAACTGGCCATGGAGGGTGATTATGCTCCTGTGCACTCAGGTAAGGCTGCTTGTTGCACCTGCGTATCTTACTCCACCCTGGGAGGGTTAAAGAACACAGGGCTGAACTGTGCCTTACAACCCCTTATCTGCCCAGATTAGGACCTGGGCAGGGGACGATCACTGCCAAAACCTACAAAGCCAGAGACACAAAAAAATGAAGGCCTGAACTGTCGTATTTTGGTGGATGATGTCCAATGCCGCACTTCATATTTGATAATTTTAAAAAAATGCTTTGATTTTCAGGCAGCTGAATCAACCCAAACCCCACCAACTCCGTGGGAATGACATGCCTGCAGTGCCTTCTCACAGTCAGGGTGGTTATGAAAGTTCCAAAGTCTGGCAAATTAAAGGCCATTTGTGGGTTTTCCACCAAAAGCTGATTCTCCCACCAACTCTAAGCCCTGAAATCCAGAGAGATGTGACTGTCCACAGTGTCTGCTGGGGGTGACCATAGTCACCATGACAGGAAGGCTGCCTTCCGTTACCCTGGCAAACATCTGAGTTTGGACGGGGAGATGAATCCCACCTTTGGTGACTGCACAGAGAAGAGGAGATCAAACTAAGGGTCTCAAAGCCCTCCAAGGATGTAGCCTGCCTAAAGCAGAGGGAATACCAGTATGGAAGGGTGAAGCAGACCACCAGCACCAGGGATGCAGGAAGTGCTGGCAACCCTCACTTGCCCATCAGCTCTCACCAAGCATTTCAAGAGTCGTGCTTTCTTATTCACATATGCAGATACAAATATTACCCAAGGCAAAATGACTGTACAATAGTCCTTAGACTTGTGGTGGTTATGGCTTTGTTAGTGACATCTTCACAAGTAGTGCTCTTCCTTTCCAATACGTTTTAAGGGTTCCTATGACCTGCACTGCACTAGTTAGTGCAAAACATATTACTGCTATTAATCAGCACCATCAGGTGAATCTTCCAATCCAAATGGCTTCCTAAAAAGATTAGTTGCTTTATTTTAATGTAATTATTTTATCAAAATTGTCCTATTTTGTTATTTGGCTCAGTCATGCCAGCTGCACTTTCTGAAAAGCCTCCATGAGGAAGGAGGCACACATTGTCTGGTTCCTCACCAACCACAGCCCTCGATGGGAAGGAAGGGTTTAGCACAACCTCAGAGCGCCTGTGTTACAGTAAGGTCATGCTCAAAGATGTAATCACCAACCCATTTTAACAAACAAAATAATGTGGTCTAGATTCTAAGGCATAGCAGGCTTTTAAACATTACCATTTCTGGTAATAGCCACATTTGAGAGTATTTTTTTAACAAGAGCTATTTTTGTCTACACATCCCAACTCATGCTAAATAAATTCAGTAACTTATTCTCACTTGGGCCAAATTTTCAGAGCACAGAGGAAGACAGAGAGCTAGTGAAGATTCCCCATTGCTGTAACTTATTTTGACTTCCTATTAAGTACAAATCGATCAGATTGTCCTGTACTGGGGTGAAGAAACTTTACCATTTATAGGATTTGGGGAAGCTGAGGATGAAGGCCTGCTCCAGGAAGGCACAGGGATTAGTTAATGGGGACCTGCCTACTCTTGAATTGCTCCGTTCTCCCACACCCCCATGCCCCAATTCACTCCTGCCTGCAGGAACTTTCAGCCACACATTCAAAAGAAACGCAGGACCTGGCTTTCCGAGTCCTCCTCCTCCTCCCCGCAGTGCCCAGCCTGGCACAGAGGGCTGGCTGCCCCAAGCTGCCCCGCCACGGTCCCGGCCAGGGGTCCTGCACCCCATTGCTCCCTCAGGGCAGGGGTCAGCCTGGCAGCCAGTGCCAACCGTTTTCTGCTGTCCTTACCGCCACAGAGCTGGTACAATGCAGGAATTATGCTCCTGCAAGCGCTACAGACGTGAGACAGCCATGGAGCACGCTGCCTCTACCGAAATGCACCGGCTGGCCACAGGCTGCATGAACTGACCAGAGCACATCGCTGTAGGTTTGGAACTCACACAGAGAGCAGTAACACTGAGGAACACTGTCCCTCCTCACAATCCAGCTGATGCATATCTCTGCCAAGAGACTGGAGGCATGTGGTAAGTAACTGCATTTTTTTCCCAAAGCTCTGAATGCCTGAGACTACTCCAGGGTTGTAAAAATACTTCCCCCTTTGGCTGTCATGGCTGTGTGGGACCTTGCGGGGAGGTGCTTGCCCTCAGCTGAAGACTTGATAAGGAACAACCCCAACACAGGCTGCAATGACGAGCACTCTGTCCTGTGATTTTCATGGAAGATTTTAAGAGAATTTACGCAACAGTTAAAATCTAATCCCACTGCACCTAACTCGAATGTGCCGATTAGTTGGGATGGTCACTCTAACTTGTGTTTAATTGTTTTTAAGGCTTCAGATGTAGCATTAGAAGATAATAAAAAAAAGCACATTTGCAGTGAAAGCACAGTCACCAAGGACAACCACCAAATGTCTGCAACTCCACTTGCTTCGCACACCAGCATGAGAGACACCTGGCAAAGCCAAATGTGGGACTTTCCATCAATGAATTCCCTCACGACAGAGGAGCAAAGAAGGCTAAAGTGATTAACAAAGGCAGAGCATCAGAAAACCTCGTGTAGAAAAGGGAGAACATTATTAATTATACAATAAACGTGGGTGGGCTGGGGAAAGAAAGAGGAATACAAAAAAATTAAGCAACAGGAAAGGGAGTATGTGGCTGCAAGAAAAAAACCCACACGGTTATTCACAGAAAGCGCGTGGAAACCTCCAAAATCTCAACGGCGCTCACCGGGGGGTCTAGGACCTTCCCCCAAGGCAGCCCTGAGGCACCGTGCCCTTCCCGGGCGGGGACCGGGCGCTGGCGGGGCCGCTTCTCCGGTCAGGAAAGCGGCTGTTCCGGTCACGTCGGAAGGAGCCCGACGGCGGCCCCATTTCCGAGGGAGAGCCGGCGGGCGACCCGGCCCTGAGGCGCCCGCCCGGGCAGGGAAGGCGGTTTGCCGTTCCGCGGAGACAAAGCGGATGCCTCAAATTCCTACCCGTCCCGCCGGTCTGGCGGGGTCTGCGGCACCCCACGCCCGCCCCCTCCTCGCCCACCTCTGCCTACCTGGGCGGCGGGGAGCGGTCGGTCTCCCTTCCCGCCGGCGGGACAGCCCGGGCTTGGGCAGCCGCAGCCCGCGGGGGGGCTCCAGGCTCGGGCGGCGGGTGCGGGCGCTGACAATGAGGGGAGGGACGGGGGACCGGGCGGTGCTTGACGTCAAGGGTAGCGGGGAGGGGGCTGCCGGGCCGGGCCCGGCCCAGACGTGGTGCAGCTCCGCGGCGCCCTCCCCCGGCTCTGGGAGAGGGCAGTGAGGGAGCGTCGGCCATTTTGGGGGGGAGAGGGGCAGGCCGTGGTCGGGGGTGACCTCCTGTTAGCGCCGAGGGGCTGCGGCCTTCTGAGAGGCCCCGCGAGGGAAACGGGGAAGCCGAGCGTGGGTGTCGGTGGGACGGCTGCGGGACGGGGGGAAGACGAGGCTTGCCGATGCGGGGTTTCCCGGTGGGTCTCTGGAGAGCCCTCCAGACCGAGTCCCTTGGTGGTTCCTCCCGGGGCCGCCGCCGCCGCTTCAGGGTTCTGGAGGGGCCGTTGGGCGGTGGACACTGTCGGTGCCGTTGCAGGCGCTCCCCTCTGTCTTGTAACGTGAGGCAGGTACAAGAGGGTCTCTTGTCTCCCAAAAAGCAGGGCAGAGGGCTGTATGCGAGATGGTGCTGAGAGGTTTGGGACTTGGCATTCGGCTGTGGCTGTTTCCACCTTGGGGGTGCGCAAAGATGTTCAGATGGAATCAGAGACAAGAGACCTTCCCGCAGTAGCCAGGAAAAGCTGCTCGAAGTGTCACTCGGTTGTAGGCCAAGCGCCGGGAGTTAGGTGGGGGTGACACTGAGGAGCAATGGCTCGGTGCGTGGTGTAGCACTGGGCTGCAGGTGCCCAGCTGAGTCACAGGGGATCCAGTCAGCAGCCGTGAGCCATCCAGTCCCAGCCATGCTGCAGGACATGGCAGTCTGGCATGCATTCTCCCCCTTTGCCAGTAGGTACCCTAGCTAAAAGTGTATTTCCAACTCTGCCAGACAATGCAAAAGGAAGATGCTTTGAGCACTAGGTGATTTGGCTTGTAACATTGATAGAATATTGTCCATCTGTCTGATAAAATGTAGATATTTTATCTGAGTTAAAATATTATTCTTTGTGTCCATAGCACAGTCTGAAATACAGTTATTCTGAGTCAACACTTTAAAGTGACTTTTCTAGGTTTACAGCTAAAATAGAAGCTCGGACAAAGGTGCAGAATGAACAGGATCTTACTTGTAGGCAGACTGAGGAGGGCTTGCGGACAGTCATTATAGCTGGGGAAGGTATTTGCTTTCCTGAAACTCCACCCGCACACCAGCATTCAGCAGCGGAGGCACGTTACGTGTGCTCTGCAGTACAACCACATTCCATGTTTTTTTGGTTCCCTGCTTTACAGATACTACTTCCAATTTGCAAACTGGCATGAGGGAGATTTGCTAATAAAATGCCAGGTCTTGCACTCCGTCTAGCAATGGCATAGCCGTTTAACTAGGAGATGAAATGGAAAAAAAAAAAGGTTGTTTTTTCTTTTAGTATGTGCTAAATGCATGTGCTCTAAGCTTGCTGGGGGTTGTGTACGTTAGAGCCTAGGCTGCCTTCCATGTGCTCCTTGGATTTGCTGTGCTGGTAGAGAGTGTGCTTGAGTACTTTTTCATAGAGTTTATGGTGAAACTCACTGCTGCAGCATGATATCAGCAGCAAACATTCCTAAGTATTTCAAAAAAACATGAAACAAATGAGGGGAAGAAAATTGCTGTCAGGGGACCACAATGATGCCACCTCTGACTAAAGAACCTGAAGAGATGTTGGGAAAGTGTTGTTACAATGTTTGGCGTATTTTTCTACTATTGCTCAGGCATAATGTACTTGCCCTTGTCCTCATTAGTTCCCACAGTGAAAACAGCTGAAAGTGTATCAAAAGGCTAATTGCCTCCCTAGATATGGGTGGGTGCAGCAAAATAGAGAAGATCTAACTCTGTATCAAGTTCTCAATATGGAGAACATGAAGGAATTTAGACCACAGAGGTGTTTGGAGTCCAAAACCTCTGGTTATAAGGCCAGGTGGCATTGGTCCTGCAGAACCTGCTCACAGTAGGAGCAAAGAAGGGCATGTGGAACGCATTCCTCTTCTGGATCAATTAGTTGAGAAATGCTGTGGGTGGACCACCCCATATGCAAAGTCAGCATAATGGAATCTACTTGATCTTGCTGAAGGTAGTTCAGGAAGTATCCGATGTTGATGACACTGGCCAGATCCAGTGTCAGTCTTCCAGGGACAACCACCACATGCATGTGAAGGTAGGTTTCTGTAATGGGGATTCTTCAAGAAAGTCTTCCCATCCTCTTTTGTGTCTGTAGCAAAACTGGATCTGAAGGGTACTTCAGCATTCTGAGGAGATCTGAAAAGATGGTTTTGGGATGGTCTTTCAGGTGGATGCAAAATGGCTGCCAGGCATATGGTTACAGAGAAGCGTATACCAGAGTGCTCCATACAGGCTATCTGCAGCAGATAGATGTTTTATGGCAGTGTTGGAAAGTGTAGACCTGATGGTGACTGTAGACCCAGCCTTAGTGAGAAAAAGTCCATCATTTTCTTTCTGGATAAAAAGAGTGCTGTGCAAAGCCCATGATTTTCAAAAGCTTCAAGTGCCAAGAGATGGTATCTGTCTGGCCCAAAGTAACACCAGCCTAGATAGGCACCAGCTGGGGCCCACGAGACAAGCCACCCTTGCATTGGAGAGGTTTAGGCATCCTGCAAGGTGTTTAAACTTAAAATATAAATGTACTACAGTTGGTAGGAAATCAATGTGTTTGTCTCCATCCAAACATGGGTGTTTGGCCAACATGCCCCAGATAGCAGTCACCCATGAGAGATCCTGAGTGGCCAAGCAGTTCTACCCCAGTGCAGCCCTGTTGACTCACTGTCATAAAATCTCTGTGCAGGTTCCATGTGGATCCGAACATCTGAGGAATTGTTGGATACAGGCACGTCAAGTGTGGGACACTTAAATTGTCAGGATATGTGCACTTTAACACCTCTTGAAGTGCACATATCCTGGGCCTAGCACTGAGGTGCAGGTGTGTAAATAACAGCACAGCTTTGTCCATAGGTATGAGGATAACAGGTTCTCCACTTACCACAGAGATTTTGGTGGAAGTGGCCTCTCTCCTCCTCTACTCTCCCCCTTGTAGGCTCAGGAGCTGCATTGACATTGGTGTCCTGCAGGAGCGCGTGCTAAGAACATGATAGTGTTGGGATGTTGTGAAGTCTCCTTCTCTGGAGATATTCAGAACCCGTCTGGTCACAATCCTGTGCAACCTGCTCTGGGTGAACCTGCTTTAGCAGGGGGTTGGATTGGATGATCTCTGAAGGTCCCTTCCAATCCCTACCATTCAGTGATTCTGTATCTTGTTAGTACAAAAAATGACCTGAGACTCCGAGGTGTTTAGTGATGCTTTTTTTTGACATTTCATGGTGCAGCCTTGTGACCTGGAAAACTATTCATCAAACAACTGCTCCCCAAGGGCAAGGAAGGCGTTGTGAAAGCTCTGTGCCAGCTGCTACCTGACAGCACGCCACATGTTAGCACTTTGCTGGTGGTGGAGCACCTATGGGATCCAGGGTAGGACAAGGGTGAGGCAGAGGGCTTGTCTATACCGCCAGGCTCAGCAGCACCATCATGCAGAAGGCTGTATGTAATGAGTGGGACCAGCAGCAGAGCTTGGTTAGCACCCTTAACCTTTGACAGGCTCAGCTGATATGTGCTGGATGCTCACCAAAAGGCTTCATCCTTCAGGGACATCCTAAAGGCCCAAAGCTCTGCTCTTGGGCCCTGGCTGCACTATCAAAAGTTCCCCTGATTAGCAGAGGTCAGACTTTGGAAATGGCAGCTAAGTCACAACTCTTAAAGAGGAGCTCTTCCCTGAAGCCCAACCCTGTTCTAGCACTGACCAAGGATTTTGAGACCTCCCATACCATGGCCTCCAGGAGGACAAGGACATTGACCTCCTCACAGCTCCACTCCTGATATGCTGTGGAGGAAGCCTTGTCCCAGGGCAGAAGGGAGTCACAGGTGCATTCACCACCCTGGTTCATAGTTCAGTCCCCATCATTATGAATATGGAAATTTGATCTCTGAGATGGACTCAGGGGCTTCAGGGGAACAGATTCAGGAGAGGAAGAGACAAGAAGGGACAAAAAAGGGAATGTGTCTCCCCAAGGCAGGACCTCTCCTTCGTGTATCCTCCATACCACCTGTGTGAATCCTACCTGGTCATTGTCATTAGCAGTGTCCACTGGCTGCAGCAGTCTGTGCAGCATCCTTACTGGCACCCAGGAGGGCTACTTAGCAGAGGGGACATCTGGGGAAGACAGGTTTCTAGCAGTGGTGCTGGCACCCTTTTTGGGGTTTGGAAACCCAGCACCAGTCCTTCCAAGCCGAGTGATAGCCATTTGTGACCGTGCCCCAGGCCGTGTTTTATTAATGGAGACTTAGTGCAGTCAATGTAAGCACCAGACAAAAGGACAGAAAGGGACAAGTGGAATGGGGGATGCAACAAGGTGAGGGGGCAGACCCAGCTCTTAACTGGACTGGTTTTGCTGAACAAGAGGTATACAATTGGCAGGGAAGACGAGAACAAAGTAGGGGAGTGCAAACCACACTTGAAGAGTAAAGGAGACCGGGACTGAGGAAAGCTGCCCAGGGGCTGGAAAAGGGAGAGGGGGCAGAGGCACAGGGGCACAGAGGAGGAGGTGTGGCAGTGGGTACACTGCTGGTGGCCTGCACTTTCTCAGGGTGGGCAGATATGGATAGCAGGGTGGGTTAAAGCTGGGAGGGAAGCAGCAATCTTTTTATTACCCAGAAGACTGCTACTGTGGAGTGGCAGCCTCCTCTTCTTATGGTACTTGATAGAAAAGGTGGTTTAGTTCCAAGGGTAGAGGGTATAAGTAATATGGGCAGATATGGCCAGAAATTATGTGGGGAGGGGAGATGACAAACACCCATAAAATCATGAATAATATGGAGGAGCAACAGAAACTGTCAGTGTTATCTAACAACAGAGGACCCATATGGGTGTAGTAGGTTTAAACAAACAGAAGT